CCCAAATAGGCTGACCTATGATGCGCCGGGAAAGCAGGGCAAGACAGCCCTGGCCAGAGCGGCAATGATGGTCGGAGACGACGAGGAGAGTGACTACGAGGAGTGTGCCTTTGCGTTCTTCTCTCCGGTGGAGATGCCGGGAGAAACAACAACTCTCAAGGAGGCTTTGGAGAGTAGTGATGCTGAGGAGTGGAAGAAGGCCATGGAGAGTGAGCTAAAGAGCATTGAGGAGAATGACACGTTTGAATTGGTGGAGTTACCGGAGGGGCGTACGGCGATAACGTCCAAGTGGCTCTTCAAAATCAAGTCGGATGCTGACGGCAAGATCGAGCGCTACAAGTCTAGGCTTGTAGCCAAGGGGTACCAGCAAAAGGAGAAGGTGGACTTCAAGGAGCTGTTTGCCCCTATGGTGAAGCCGACGACGCTGCAAACCCTATTCGCGGGAGCCGCCATCAAAGGATGGGTAGTAAAACAAATGGACATCGTAACGGCATTCCTTAACGGCATCCTTGAGGAGGAGATTTTTATGGCGCAGCCAGAGGGGTTTGACGATGGTCGTGGCAGAGTGTGGAAGCTGAAGAAGGCCCTCTATGGGCTGAAGCAGGCCCCTAGGCAATGGTACATGAAGCTGCGCAAAGTGTTGGAGGGGATCGGCTTCACTCCCTCAACGGCCGATCACTCCTTGTTCATGCTTGGCGAGGGGGAGCAGAGGAGCTTCATAGTGGTGTACATGGATGACATCCTCATCTTCTCACCCTCTTCTGACCTTGTGAAGGAGGTGATGCTGAAGCTGCAAGAAAAGTTCAAGTGCAAGTCCCTTGGTGACGTGAACTTCTACCTTGGGCTCCACATCAAACAAGACGTGGAGAAGCGGAGCATGCGAGTGCACCAACAGAAATACCTGGAGGCATTGGCCGCCAACTTTGGCCAGAGTGAAGGTCATGTGGCTACTCCCTTTCCCTCTGGGTTCAAGTGTGTGAAGGGGCCAGAGGAGGAGAGCGTTGGAGAAGAAGAGAGGCGCCGTTTTCACTCGTTGGTGGGCAGCCTCATGTATGCAGCGGTAAACACCCGACCAGACGTCGCGTTTGCTACCGGGCAGCTGGCTAGGGTTGTGCAATGCCCTAATCAGGAGCAAGTAGCAGCTGGACTGAGGATGGCCAAGTATCTTGGCCAAACACCGACCGTTGGGCTGCAATACTCGGCGGCGGTAGAAAGGTGTTAACAGGGCGCGGATGGTGTTGAACCCGGGCATTTGTTCCTCACCGCCTACTCAGATGCTTCATACGCATCAGAACCAGAGGACATGACAAGTGTGGGAGGCTTCATATGCTGTGTTGGTGGAGGCCCAACTGCTTGAGAGAACAAGAAGCAGGTTGACCAAGCTTTGAGCTCGGTGGAGTCCAAGTACATGGCACTCTTCCGTGCCCTACGGGAGATTGTGTGGCAGCGGCGTTTGTTGGCTGAATTGGGGGAGGAGCAGCAAGGACCTACCCCACTCTACTGTGACAGCCAGGGTTCCATTGCTCTTGGTAAGAACCCTGCGTCGCATGGACTCACAAAGCACATGAGGGTGAAGTGGCATTGGACGAGGAGCTTGGTGACCGCGGGTGAAGTTGATTTGCGGTACGTGAAGACCACGGGGCAGCCGGCTGACATGATGACCAAGAGGCTGGTGGAGCAGCAGCATTGGAAGTGTTGCAAGCTGGTTGGGATGGCTCTGAACTAAGAGAGCAAGATCCTACAGCCAACAATCCGAGGGGGAGTTTGTTGGTGCAACCCTACGGTTTGCACTCGGCTTGTTGTTTGTGTGTGTGCATGCGTGTGTGTATCGAATGGTATGAGGGCATGGGATAATATATATTTCATGCTTATAATTGTGTGTGAATGTTAAGTCATAATGTCGAGTGTCTGTGTCAAGTCAATAGCGAGATATCGCTAGACGCGTGTTACGCGGTCGTTTGTGTCTCGCGCGCGGTTTCTTTTTTGTCGTGCGCGGTTTCTATTTTGTCCTGTGTCGAATGTTCGGCGTGTCGCAGGTGTGTGCAGAAGACCCATCAAGAACTCAAGGATGAGTTTGTGATGAAGAGCCTGAGCCTTTGTGTCAAGCCTCAAGTGATTTCGAAGCTCGCCAAAAGGGTGCACCTCAAGATATTGAAGATAGTTACATTACTTTGTGTAGTGTAACATTTCACTTGGTGTAGGCCCTAGTGAAGGGTAGTTTCGAGACCCTTCGTGGTTGGGGACAGTGTGGCACTGTTCCACATCACTGTACCTCGGCTCTTGGGGTTTGTAGGAGCTGGGAGTCATTCCCAACTCGTAACTCTTCCTAACCCTTCCTATCTTGTGTTCTAAGACCATGTTGCTGCCATAGTGCCGTTCGTTCAAACCAACGCTGTGTCGTCAGTTCTTAATGAAAGCGTGCGATTAAAATTGCCTATTGTAGGCAACATCAAGGCGCTCCAGATCCAAGTTGAATGAAGTCATTTGGAGTTGTGAGCAGATCGCTATGAACGTTTGAAGCCGCTGTGCAGAAATCCGACTGTGCACTCTATCTTTCGTTTTAGGCACATTTGAGCCTACTGTGACCATAACATTCACCCCATCCACTGCTGCCGCCAATCCGTCCGGTAAGTCTGTATTGTTTCCCATGGGGCTCCAAGCCGATGACTTAGTGAGATTGCACCGCAGCCCCAGTCCGGCGAGCCCCTGCAGGATCATAGTAAATGCCCTTGTCGCTTCCGCCGGCTGCTCGATGACAGTGATGTCATCTGCGTACGCCATCACTGTCACGCCCCGGACTGCTACCGCCGCCTCTAGCAGGGTCGGTTGTATGGCCGCTGCGAACAGTATGGGGCCAAGTGGGTCTCCTTGCCTAATGCCACGGGCGCTGGCGGTGGAGCTGAGAGTGAAGCCTCTATCTAGTAGTAGCTTTGACGACGCACCGTAAAGAGTCCTTGCAAACGGTAGTAGCGAGCTCAGTCCGGCGGTCCATAGTAGTGCCGACAGGAAACTCCCACGTTCGACCAAGTTGAAAGCATTTTCAATGTCCAGCTGGAATATTGTTCTCGTCGTGTCCTCTGCCAGCAGCGTACGGGCCGTGTGTATTATGCACTCTGCTCCCCCTGTACGGCCACCCCGTATTGTACTGGCAATAAATGTGACTGGATCTCCTTGGACAGTTCCCGTAGCGCCGCCTTTGCTGTTAGCCTAAGGATCGCCTCCCCAATCGCTATCGGCCTCACTCCGCCGTCCAGTTTTTCTAGGGCGATTAGCCTCGATGGTAGCAGCAGCTCTCTTAGCGGCGCGCTCTGGTATGTGCTTAGTAGATTATTGACCACTTGGTGCAGTAGGAAGAGGACTTCTCCGTTTGTTAGGACAGGGTCGCGTAGGTGTTTGAAGCAAGTGCCTGATGGGCCTGCGCCTATTCCGTTTGGGCATTCGCCAAGATGTCGCGGAATGAATATGTGCCGATGGCAAGCGGTGTTTCACCGTAACCCCCCAGCCCTTCAGGTATCGCCACCTCCGCTCGCGGGTGTTTTGCCTAGAGTGTTTCCAATGCCTGTTGCGACGGCTCTGCCATTGGGGTGGTTTGTAACGCTGCCGCAGCTTTCGCCAGGTTGGCCTTCCAGACCAACCCCTCTACTGTCACGCAGATGCCCTCTGTGTCTCGCTCGTGTCTGCTTGGTTGGGAAATTTCCGGGATGGTGCAGGCTTGGAGGTACAGCGAGCCCCAATCCTCATCTCGGAACTGTCGAAGTCTCTTCTCCACTGTGTCGAGGCTGTTTCCCAGCACTTTCTCCGTATTCACCCTCAATGTAAGCCGTGGTAGGAATTGCAGCACCCTCCACGCGCCCATGCAGCCCGGGTGTTTCGAGAGTCGCAGGAAGGGGATTGTCAGGCAGTGACAGTATGATTGCAGGATTTCCGGGGGAAGCTTCCAGACCAGGAATGGTTGGGAGCTGGCTCGCAGTGGGTCCTGGTCCCAACCCTCGATCGCCTGCCATGTGTCATCATCCTCCGCAATGTCCTTTGGAGAGCGCTCCTTGCTGGCAAATTCATTCGACCGGTGAGCTGGTGATTTGCCCACCTACCCCCCCCCCCCCCCTCCGTCAGGATTATTTCCCTCTTGTCCTCGGCGTCCGCCACGTCGACGTCTCCCCTCATTGCCACTAGGACACCATCCTGGGCCTCCACAGATACCTCTTCCGATTCGGCTTCTTCCTCCTCCATATATTCCGACTCTTCTTCTTCTGCCGGGTCATTCATTGGTCCTTCACTCTTCTCTTCTGGCCTCCCGTGCCGTTCCAGCCAGTTTCCCAATCTGGCTTTTTCCCGTGCTACAGCTCTCACTAGCTCACCCACCCGTCCTCCTCTGCCCCGGCCCCTCCCGTGCCTCCTCGTGGCCGTGTTTCCTGCCGCGTTTTGTGGCTGCTGGCCTCTCGCCCTCTCTTCCGCTTGCTCTCGTAGGACCCTCTGTCGGCTGGTTTCGTTATTCTGCCTTCGCCACGCCGCTGGCCGAGTAGTCGCCCCATCTTCTTCCTGGTTCTGCTCAAGTTGATCTGCTATTTGGAATTCCCCGTCCTCGGTTCCCTGCTCGTGTCGTCGCATATCGGTCTGACGTCCGTGTTGCCTTTCCTCTCCTTGATCCGGTTGTGCGTTCAGGTCCCGCCGTGATGACGAGCAAACGCCGCCGTCCCTCCCATCCAGACCGCAAAGTGGGCTCTGCCGCTTCCAGACCGTCTAGGGCCCAGGAAGGGCTGGCCCCAGTCCTGCTCCGAGCCGCCGCTGCGCTGGTCGAGCACGAGGGGGGTTGGACGCCCGCCCGGCGTTGTGAGCCAATCTATCGTTCTCCCCGCGGGTAGACTCATCCCCAACTCCGGGCCCGCGATGGTTCGTTCCGTCGCCGCCGTCCGCCTCGCCCTGCCCCCGCCGTCCAGAGGGAGATTGTAGGCCCTCTACTTCAACCGCCGCCGTCCTCCTTGCGCCTAGGTGCTCCGTCTATGCCGTCGCCGGCTGTGTCGCCGCAGTCGTCGCAGCAGCTGTCGTCTGGCGTCGTTGCCCCTCCGCTTCCGCTCTCGTCGGCTCCTCCTGCGGCATCGGTCCCGCTCCCCGCTCCGCCACCCTCCTCCCCTCCACCTCTGGCGCCTCCTCCGTTGTCATCATCGGCCGTGGCACCCCCCATGCTCCACCCCTTTTTCTCAATTTCCCTCCGCCTCTCTTCCTCCTGTCGAGCCTCCGCAGCAGCAGCATCCTCTCGTTCGGTCGGGGCACGCCCCTGAAGCTCGCTTTCCTCCTCCTCGTGCCCGATCCCCTGAGCTTCCTCCCGATGCTTCTAACCCCAAAGACGATGAGCGGTGGTGGAGTGGTGAGATGTGGGAGTCTCCCCCCTAGCCCGTAACCTTGTGGGGCCGGGAGTGGGACATCGAGTCCGACTTCGTGAAGGACATCCTTCGCTGGGAGAAGCGCATGGTGGCGGTTGGGGAGTGCCTGTCGCACGTGGCAATGGTTCTCAAGCAGTTGCACGCAGGCTTGATGGCGCGAAACCTCGTGCTTCGTGATCCTCAGCTGACAGAGCCCCAGCAGGGTGTTTTTCGCGAAGCGGTGGCGCACTCCTCCGTTTGCCCCTAGAGTTTGAGTTCCTTGATCTGGACAAGGGCCCTAGCGTGCGGGCTTTTCGGCAGATCGCCAAGGCTGCCGAGGAGTCTCCCCTTGAGCTCGTGCCCGTGCTCGCTGTTCTATTGCGCTGGATCCGCCGGCGCTTTTACGTCCTGAACCGCGTATAGCGCCCCGCTCCCTTTTGTCCTTGGTGTTTGCCTTTTTGTTCCCCATAGTAGCCTCCCCTTACTTACCTCGCATTTGTTCTATGGGCCTTATCTAGTGCTGCATCTTGTATCCCTCCTCTAGAGTGTTGTTGCTTCTTGCCGTCCCCTCACGCGCGGCCGACTTCGGCGGCCGGCGCGAGCCGCCAAATTCGCAGTGAGAATGAATTCACACCCGAACAATGGGGATGAGAGTGGGATCCTTGCCCCTTATATACCAGGGAACTAGGCTCAAAACAAGTAGCAACTAGTCTACACTAAGAAAAAATTCTACACTAAGGGGCTAGGCTATAATAGCTAAGGACTTAGTAGCTTTGGGTCTCTCTCTCTCTCTCCCTCTCTCTCTCTCTCTCTCTCTCTCTCTCTCTCACTCACTCACTCTCTCTCTCTCTCTCTCTTAAGCAGTCCTGTATTGATAATGGTCATAGGATACAAGCATGGCACGAGTAGTTTGGCATACATGTTGTCCTAGAAGCATAGGCAATCCTGGCGTGCATTGCTTGTACTATTCCCACCTTCCTTGGTACATGGCTGCCTAGGCATGCAAGCACCTATCACTAGGCCCCCATGGTGGCTCAGGCGGCCTTGGTCCTGCCCTGGCTCCTTCTCTCCAGCCTTCTAGACTCCCAGGTCCCACACTTCCTCCACCTCATCTTCCAGGACCTGCCATATGTCCCCCAGGACTGACTCCCAAGGGTCAGCCCAGGCCTGGGGGTATGCTGCCTCCGCCGCCCTGTTGGACTTTGCCAGCATGGCGTTGGCTTGGCAGGGCTGCAGCATTACCGACCAGCATTGTCGCTAGTGCGCACTCAGCCTATAGGCCACCGTGGTGAGCCTCCCTTGGCGGTGCTTCTTCTTGGCCGCACTCGTGCCTAAAATGCGGAAGAATTTCTGTGTGTCTCTCGCTAGTCCCCCGTAGGTTTCCACGGCCAGGCCCAGGACCCCCGCCAACTCGGGGCGCTCCTCATACAGCCCCCTTTTTGTGAGAGTACGACGCCTTATGCCAGCTATGCTTGCTTGCCTTTACTTTATTATGCTATTTCTAGCGTAGGATAATTATATGCATGCATGAATTGCTTGATTTCCTAGGCTAGGTGCTTTCCTATATTTTATTATAGTTATAGCACCGAGCTAGGTTGCGTGCACCGAATTCTGGCTTTTCGGTTGCCACCAAATTGCCTTCTACCGAATTCGGTCAGGATCTGTTCGAGACGCTTCGCGGCCCGCGGAACCTTCGCATAACACCTGGTTACGGGGCCTTGTGTCGAGCATATATATAGCCTCGTGTTGTACCCAGGTGATTCATTCGATTCAATTCAATTCAATTCACATTCTCTTTTCTGAGCTCGATCCTAGATCCTCGAACTTGGTAATCAGAGCGGGTCTACACGCGAGGTCTTCAACTGCTTAGTTCTAGCCTTTAAAAAACCGCGGGGGCGACGACGAAAGCGCCGATACGGGTATGTAAAACCAGTTCCGCGCAATTTTTCTAAGTCCCCCTCGATTCGGTTTTCAAACACCCCTCAGATTTACTGGTGGAAAGGTTGGAGTTTCGACCGTTCGATCGAGTTTCATCTCAACGGCCCAGAGAATTTCGCCCAAACAAGTTAGAATTTGGAGCGTCGGATCGATTTTCTCCTCAACGGCCAAGATCGGACGCGAATTTTGCCTAAGGGAGATTTACGCGACTTTCAGAATTCGCGCTCGTCAATCCTATAGTTAACTTGATTCACAGTAAGTCGACCAGCACCTAGAATTCGATTATTTTCGTCGCGCATCTTCCTGTAAATCGCCAAATGGAGGGAAAAGGAGATATTTCAGTACAGAAAATTGCGGAGTTACGTGCTGAGCATAAGCAAATACATGCGGCGCTCCCACGACTCGAAAAACTCCTTGCGAACCAGTCGGCAACCGCCACAGCACCAGCGACAACAGTAGCAGCAGCAGCAACAGCAGCAGCAGCGGCAACACCGACAATTCTACATGCGACAACGGCGGCAGCTACAGTTAACCTCGAAGCAGTGAAGCCGAGGCTACCGGAGGCGTTCAATCCTACGGTCTAAAGGAACGACGTTCGTCGATTTGTAGTTGAACTCGAAATTTACTTCAAAGCCGTTGGTTACACGACCCCGACAAAAGACGCAATGCGCATACGGCTCGCAACAACACTGTTACGAGGCCCAGCTCTAGAGTGGATCAAAAACAGAATAGTCCAAGGCGAGAAGACGTGGGCGCAATTTCCGGCAGCACTGATCGAACAGCTCGACACGTTGAACAGTGGCTACTACGGAACACGACGCAACAAGCCAACCAGTGGCATGGGGCGACTGGCACCACCCACGACTGCCGACCCGAGGGAGAACGACGAGGGCGATGTGGAGCAGTGGCTAGCAAATAATGAGACGTGCAAATTTTGCGGCGCTACACGACATCGTATCTTGGCGTGTTGGAAAATGAAGAAAAGGTGTGCGGAGCTGAAGGACAAGAACAGTGCGGCACCCCCGAAGCAGAAAATGGACGACGTGGCAACTTCGGAGAGGGCGAAAAAAGGAAAATATGGTGGCGCAAATGTAAAACGTCATGACCAGCCGTCACCAGAGGAAATCGCCGAGACTAATGGAGGATCCGCGAAACAAGACCCTGCAACGACCGGGAAACTCCAACCGTATACCCCGAGAAGTAAGAATATTACTTCTTGTGGGTTTCAAGCCTATATTAAGGGAGAGTAAGAAATTAAACCGGTACCGGGTATTATGGGGACCCTACTCCAAAGCGCTAATACAGGTCGAGCGTTCCGAGGAGTTAATATTCTCTCCCAGCAGCATTGTTTCAAGGCTCCCTGTTCCCCACAGATGAAACCTACACAGCTGCAAAGGCTTAGTGGAAGGTTCCAGGCCCAAGAGAAGCCGAATCGGCCTCGGATAAATCCTTCTGGCCTTTCTCAGTTGAAAACTGATACTGAAGCTGCATCTTCGAGCGCAGAACCTAGGGATAACATATTCCACATACCCTACGATCCTATAAGCGATACCATCTACGGATACTCGGAGCAGCAGCAACCACTAGTACTTGAGGTGATCTGCAACGGGCGTCGCCTCCAGGCCCTAGTGGACGGTGGTGCGTCCCACTCGGTGTTCGACAGCGGGACGTTGGAGAAAATTGGAGAATCCTAAGAAGAAACCTAGTTTACAGCAACGATGGTGGACGGACGGTACGAAGCTTCCCATCCACGGCAAATCAACACTGCAGCTGCAGATAGGGGCGTTGAGGTGGAAGCCGACGTTGCCGATCACGAACATCAAGGGATTATATTTCATCTTGGGGCGAGATTTTCTGAAGCGGTTCAACCCCGAGATCGACTGGGTCAACCGGAAAACGTGCATCTACAACAACGGGAAACGAGTGGAGCTGCGAAGCTGGACGGATACAGGGAGCGCTCCTGAAACGACACTGGCACGGTTCGAACAGACAGTAAACGAGAGTAACACGGGTTACTTAGCACTGGTTATGGCAGCAGCACAGGAGGAGGTCTTGGAGCAGTACAAGGATATAATGCTTGACGACCTACCCGTAGGCGTACCTCCAGCACGCACCCACGAGCACGAGATCGTGGAGGAACCAGGTGCGAAACCCATCTCACGTGCACCATACCGGCTAAGTCCGACTAAACTGACAGACATGAAAAAACAGGTAGAGTATCTACTGGACAGACAACTGGTCCGCCCATCCACCTCTCCCTACAGTGCGCCATTTCTCCTTACTCCAAAGCCAGACGCTAGTTTACAGATGTGCATCGACTACCGCGCACTGAACAAACAGACGCCACTGACTATAGCGCCAGTACTCATCCTACCGGATCCAGACAGAGACTACATGGTGGAAGTAGACGCTAGTGACCAAGCAGTCGGAGCAGTACTGATGCAGCATCACGAACGCAGTTTGCAGCCCATCGTCTACCTCAGTAAGAAGCTACACGGAGCAAAACTAAACTACCCCATCCACGACAAGGAAGCCTTATCGATAGTCATAGCCTTCAAGGCATGGAGGTGTTACCTAGAGGGAGCCAAGACTACAGTCTATACTGACCACTGCAGTCTCAAATACCTGAAGTCGCAGCCAACGCTCTCACGACGGCAGGTGCGGTGGGTGGAGTTCCTCGAAACTCACTTCCACTACGACATCGTCTACAAGCCCAGGCTACACAACAAGGCAGACGCATTGAGCTGCCCCGGACATGTAGCAGGCATCCAGCTCAACGAGATGAACCCTCTGCTCAAGGGTCTATTCCAACATGGGTACTCCGTGGATGCACAAATCGCTACAGCACAGACCAAGAAGTTGTTACAGTGGGAGAAAGACTTAGCTGTAAGGAAGGGTTCAGAAAAGATTTGGGTACCGAATTATGTCCCGCTACGGCAGATCCTATTGGAGGAGTTTCACGACGTAACTTACGCGGGACATTTCGGGAGCAACAAAACATTAGCAAGGATACCGAAGTATTACTACTGGCCCAGGATGGGAGCAGACGTACAGCAATTTGTCACCTCTTGCGACACGTGCTAGCGGATGAAGAGAAGCAAGCAGAAAAAAGCAAGGTTACTTCAGCCTCTACTTGTACCTGAGCAGCCATGGCAGGTCGTTAGCCTCGACTTCATCACAGGTTTCCCTTCGACCTCACGGGGGCACGATTCTATCCTCGTAGTAATCGATAAGTTCTCCAAAATGGTTCACTTCATACCGACCAACGCCACAGCTACAGCTGAAGCAATTGCTCGCCTCTTCTTCGACCGCATCATCACCATCCACGGC